ATAAATTTATCAGTCAAGTCTGTTGAAATAACGTCCCATCTAATCATTTACAAAGATACAAGATAATGTATTGTTTTACAAAGCAGGGTTGCATCATGAAATTCAGGTTGTAGCTCCCTTTTATGCTACTCAAAAGAACAAAATATACATACAGTGGAGTCTATAAAACAATTTAACATGGTGGAGTGCTGAGAATAAATTAAGCAGTCTCACAGTCTGAGGCAAGACACTGTTTTTAAGGCTGCTGGTCGACAGCAGATACTTCTGTATCTTTTACAAGACGGCAGTACAGTGAACAGGCTGTAGTGTGTTTGTTTGCCCTGTGTTAAAGAGTTGATTAGATATTTTTATTTTTTTTTTAATTTAAAAATATTGTGAAAATGTAAACACCAATGAATTTTTGTCTAATATCACTCCCTTAAATATACATTGAAAATAATATTGTACAAAGTAATGCAGAGTAGCTATGAAAGTGTATGTTGATTCATTTTCATTAGGCAGTTCCAGCGGAATGCTCCAGGGATGGAAATGTTGAGAAATGAAATGGCTTGACAACTACAGGATGGACTGCCATGAAATTTGACATTAATGAACAATTCTTTTATAGCACAGCATTAGGTCAAAATTTCACTTCATTGTCCCATCATGACATGCCCTTCATCCACGCTGTACTTTCCACTTAGTTCCAATTAACTAATTTTGGCATGCTAACACACTAAAATGGCAACTGTGGTACACATTACCTTATGCACTCAGTAGACCAGCAAACATGTAGCATATGAGCTGTTTTTGTGGCTGAAGGTCAAATGTGTGTCCGTCAAATCAAATGGAGTTCATTTTATAGCCTGAAATCGCAAATCACACATTTGCATTGAAGGTCTATACAGTCTGTAAAGAATGCAACAGCCTCCAACCCTAGACCTTTGATCGAGTGTTATCAATATGTTCCGTCAGGCTGCAACTTTGGCGATTAACAACAGCTCTCAGACAAATCACATGAATCAAGCTGACGGGAAGTATTTTGGGCATGTAGGAATCTGCCTGCATGCAGGGGTTAGAAAGGCCACTGATGGACATTAAGGACGAGACAATGTGTAGTCTGTTGTCCTTTCAAAATAACAACCAAGAGTGCATGCTATGTGACCTTTCATTCAGCCAACATTAATTTGATCCATTACTTGTCAGGCAGGCCAGCGATTGTATTGTCATTCATCAGAATGCGTGTCCTCCTGCTCCATATAGCTACAATGAGAAAACCACTGGGTGTGGGCACACACTGCTGCACCTTTGACATTCAAGTTTAGTGTATGAACTGAAACTTTGTTGAAGGGAATAAAGCATCTCACCTAGCACATGAAATACTATATTTATATATTTTTTAACCATTTAGGAATCATGTATTTCCCCCTGCAGTTACATCACTGGAAACTGATTTATATAATCCAACTGAGGTCTATACATGATTACAAAAGGATTAGACCGGTAATTAGCTTTGGCAATGACAATTTGGAAGGCAGCTGGATTCTCGAGATCATGAAATCACAAGATCACGCTTGTGTCCGAACCACAGTGGTTTGGACCAATCAGCATCCTTTGAGGAATTACTGCCAAAGTGACGCCGAGAGAACACTGTTCATTCAAAAACAACAATGGCGGCTGCTACAGACATTGATGCTGCTAGCATCAGTTATACCAGCACTGGAGAGTAAAGAACAGAAGGCTTCCCTCGATTCATGTTTTCGCTCTCCTCCCATGATAGTGATAGACAGAATGTTTGTCCAATCAAGTGTGCCTTCCCTTTTCCAACCTTCCCCAGAGTTTTGTGTAACAAACCATCACGTCGGGTTAATGATAATGCCATATTTCAACATTGAGTAGATGGTCACTGGAAAATTTGTGACAATAATATTACACTTGTTTTTAAGGGATCATGGTATTCATGTGATATTTTATTCATGAGTTTTTAAGTTTTAAAGATTTTGAAAACTGCTTAAAGTTTTGAACAATAAAGAAATCAAAATCCCTATCTTTTAACCTGTGTGAATAGGTTTTTGGCCACTGAAGGCAGTAGAAACAAAGATTAGATTTTCCCTACTCAGCGACACACCCGCTGCGAAGCCAGCAACCACAGTTAAATGTATCCCTAGAGCCAGAGTGGGCAACATTGAATCATATTTGAAAACTGCTGGCTAAGGATTAACGTAACTATCGTAAAATAGTTATTCACATCTGCGGTAATGACACCCGATTACGCCAATCGGAGGTCACAAAAATGAATGGAGTCGGTGTGTAGATATGCAAAAACAGTGCCCAGTCTAACCAGTGACATTTATAGCCCCATATTGCCATTCCACTGCTGGCTCTCGAGGTGGTGTCCAGAAAACAATGTGGGCTTTATTGATAACTGGCAGACTTTCTGGGGAAAACTTGGTCTGAAACAGAAGGAACAAGCATTCAGGAGTGGGGACAGGGACAGGTTTAGCAAGGCGGTGAGAGAAGCTAAACGACAGTACTCTGAGAAACTTCAACATCAGTTCTCAGCCAACGACTCTGGTTCTGTCTGGAAGGGGCTCAGACAGATAACCAACTACAAACCTAAAACCCCCCACTNNATCAGTTCTCAGCCAACGACTCTGATGGAGTGAGGAGTTTTAGGTTTGTAGTTTCTGTCTGCCAATGACTTGCACCTAGCAAACAAGCTGAATGAGTTCTACTGTCGCTTTGACAGACAAAGGAGCAGTCCTGACACCATCCCCTGTGACACTCCTCACCAGTTCCTCCTCCCCCAGCTCAGCAGGAGCCAGGGCCACTTCAACTACACACCTGTGAATTCCTCGTCCACTACAGTGACGACTCTCTGCCTTCAGGAGAGGGACGTCAACAGGCTCTTTAAGAGGCTGAACCCTGCTTTCCCTGTACACAGTCACCTTCAGTCACCAGTCCATCAG